CTAAAACCAAAAAAGTATCCCACATTTATTGGCTTAAAAATCATGAGATGTCTTTAAGTTATCTAATGGGGGGTGAGGGGTTTCAGGCCTTGACTCATTATTTTCAAATTGTTGGGGTTAGTACTACTAGAAGTTTGGGTTGCTGCCGTCTTCAACAGAAGCAACACTGAGCTAGGATCAAGATCTAGGTCTAAACTTTGTAGCTCAAATTACTTTCCATGTGTATCTTAAACCAGAGAAGTAACAAACAGTTGGCCGCTTGCATTTCTAAGACAAAATTCTTAGGCGTTCAGATCTGGGGTTTTGTTGTGGGCTTGTCTCTAGAGAGAGATTAAAAATCTTGAAACTGTACGTTTTTGCTCTGATGAGAGAAAATGTACAGAGCCTGATTCTGATCTCACTTACACCAGCTAAACATATTAGCTTCAGTATGTCAGTAGCCTCACAGCAGCATTAAATTCATATAAAAGAGATAAAAATCAGGCAAACCGTGTATGTAAATGTTTCATGACATGTCTTTTAAGATCTCTTTCAGTGTTCGACAAAATGAATTAGCTTAAACAATTGCAAAGATATGGAAAACAGAAATCTTTGTTTAAAGAATCAGTGTTCTTTTGACTGCAATGTAATCATATATGTGATTATATTTTACATCTTTTGCCATTTACATTTTCACAAAAGTCTTCAACTCTCCCCAATTAGCTGGTTGCTTGCATCATCCTCCCTCTAGTACAGGGATCTCAAACTCAAATCACCACGAGGGCCACATGAGGACTAGTACATTGGCCTGAGGGCTGCATCACTGACACCTTTTCATATAAAGGTACAAAAGACCCCCCAGTCCACCCCTTCCATGAGGCCCTGCCCCTGCCCCGAATCTTCCCACCCCTTCCCCGCCCCCATTCCAACCCCTTCCCCAAAGTCCCCACCAAAACTTTGCCCCCTCCCTGCCCCTATTCCAACCCCTTCCCCAAATCCCTGCCTCTTCTCTGCCTCCTCCCCTGAGCATGCGGCTCCCCGTTCCTCCCCTTCTTTCCTGGAAAGCGCTAAGCACCTCCAAACAGCTGTTTGGCGGCGGGAAGCGCCTGGAGGTAGGCAGAGGAGCGAGGACGTGGCGCGCTGGGGAGGAGGGGGGGCAGCGGGGGAGGGGAGCTTGGCGGCTGCAGGAAATCACTCCGGGGGGGCGTGGGGAGCTTGGCGGGTGGAGCTTGGCGGGCCGCAGGAAATAACCCTGCGGGCTGCGTGTTTGAAACCCCTGCTCTAGTAGATTAAGATAAACCAGAAGCAAAGATATGCATTCACATCCAGTAACATACTTAGGGTTCTCTACTGGGCCAATTTCTCCTCACAATGTAGTTACAGATAAATAGTTTCAGTCAAACTTTCAAAACATGGGGCCTGATTCTCCATTGCCTATGTGTAACTCACACACCTCCTAGGTGTGGTGCTCTGTCCCATGTAGTGGCACCAAGACCACTTAGAGATTAATGAGTCTTGTCTAAAGCCTTCATTAAGAGCCACATGGCTTTTAGCTCATGCAGTAGAGGCTCATGCACTAAGCAGCAGAGGGCCCAGGCTCGATTCCGCCTGCCAACGACTGGGGTCTGTCAGTGTTACATATGCACCTGGTGCTGTCATTTATATCTATGCATAGTGGGCAAAAAAAACCACTGCCGTATTAGGTTTTGCACTTAAGTTGCACACGTGTGTAATTAACTACACAAGGGGCAAAACCATAGAGAATCAGATCTAGGGCTTCCAAATGTGTTCATTACTATGCATATATAACCACTCAGGCTACAATTTTTGCACTTTTACTTCCATATAAAGTTACAGGATTTAGATGTGCACAACTCATCTATTTCATCAAGTGCAATTTCAAATGGGATCTGAATGTGCAAATTCTATCATTTTGGTAACAGTGTGCACAAATTGCACATTCAAGAGCATTTGCATGCATACATTTGCACACACACAAGTGGCACTCAGGTTGTGGCTTTTTTGAAAACTTTGGGCCTCTCTGTCTTGGTTTCAGTGGAGCTCTTCTCTGGTAAACAATACTGTATCTGAGACTGAGCAAATAATATTCAATGAATCTTAATCTGTCGAACTAGTCAGGGTTTTTTGTGAGGGGGTTGTTTTGTTTTGTTTTTTGTGCCAAAACACTTTATTGTACAGCTTAGTCTTCTGCCCATGGCGGAAGCATAGTAATGTTTGAGATTTAATTAACTTCATGTGGCACTGCAGAAATGGGTAGCAAATCAATAATGAATGCCATTACAGTCACCTTATGCTGCTATAATTCTCTGTGTTTGGTTGCACTAATGAGGTCTTGTTTCTTTGAGAATCATTTCAATAGCAACCAGGAGATTATTTTTTTTAATTGCTGATCTCATGTCTGTCACTGGGGATATGAAGTAACCTCAGCTGAGACTCTGTTAGTGGGGGCCAACAGTTTAAGACCCAAGAGGGGGGATATGACCCATTTTAATGGTGCTGTTGTATAGTGTTTCTCAGGCTGAGAAATTCTAAGTATTAAGCTTCAGTTGATGTAGCTGTGGAAATCGGCAGCTACTTTGTCCTTGTACTTGGTAGTTAACTGGGCAGGGGACTGGACTTGATGACCTCTCGAGATCCCTTCCAGTCCTAGAATCTATGAATCTCTGTTTGGTAATGATTCTTCTGGAGAGTAATGGAAGTAAGTGAGTCTTTAGCAAACACTTCAGCATTTGCTTTGAACATCTCCTCAGGGCTCTTTCTGCATACCAAGCAGTGGCAGCTCCAGGCACCAGCGCTCCAAGCGCGTGCCTGGGGCGGCAAGCCACGGGGGGCAGCCTGCTGGTCTCTGCGGGGGCGGCAGTCAGGCAGCCTTCGGCGGCACGCCTGCGGGAGGTACACCGGTCCCGCGGATTCGGCGGCGTGCCTGCGGGAGGTCCGCCGGTCCTGCGGATTCGGCGGCAATTCGGCAGCGGGTACGCCGAAGCCGCGGGACCAGCGGACCTCCCGCAGGCATGCTGCCGAATCCGCGGGACCGGGGATCTCCCTCAGACGTGCCACCGAAAGCCGCCTGCCTGCCGTGCTTGGGGCAGCAAAAAAGCTAGAGCCGCCCCTGATGCCAAGAAAAAAAATGTATCTGACAACTCACTTTAGGGATTGTCAGGATCTCTCCCAGGAAGGACTTATCTATATGGAGACTCTGACATCAAAACACTCTCCAGAACTTTTAGTGTGCAGTTGCAGAGTGAGCGGCAGGCTAGTGTGCTGTATGTTCACACCCAGGCAGGGCTGACGAGGGGGGGGGAAGCCGGTACAAATTACCGGGGCCTGGCAGTCCGGAAGGGGGCCCGGCTTCGCCCCCCCCCCCTCGTCGGCCCTGTTTAGCCGGTCCGTCCTTGCTGGGGGACCCGAAAAAAAATTTTCACCGGGGCCCAAACCAGCTCTCGGCAGCCCTGCACCTGGGCTTGCCACGCACGAAGCCTCCATGTAGAAGTCACTAGTGAGAAAAAGTTAACTACATTGAAGGGTGCAAAACAGGAGTGCTGAGAATTTTACAACACAGCAACCTGGAGTGTTGTCAATCTGGAGAGCTGAGCTAAGGCAGCGTAATCTCCTTGCACGTTCATCGGACCAATGGAATTTACTGTGGAGAAATATAGGAAAAGGGCCTGAGTATCCCTTGTGCCAGTTCATATGGCTGCCTGGTGTAGAGTAGAGGCTGCCTCCCGTTCATAACAGGGGGACACACCATTTTATGAAGCCCCTGGCCACTATATCTGCTATAGGCTTCATAATAAAAAAAAAAAAATAGGGAGGAGCAGAGGTGGAAAGTGGTTATAACAGAGCCGCAAGGCCACTACATCAGGTCTCATGCCAGGATTACAGACCTGTACCACGCACTTTCAGGAAAGTATGTAAGCTCATTCCCTTCCATTAATTTGAATTATCACTTCCAATCGCCATTGTTTCCAGTGTAAATAGTTTCTAGTCTAAACAAATGCTCCTAGTTAGCACAGACAGACTCTATGTGGCATGGAAAATTTCATGCTACACCACATTGGCCAAGAAAATAATGCCCAGCGTTGCTGTAGTTGAAATAATACTGTGTGATAGGCAAAACGGACATGCTGTATGTCAGAGATAAATGAACATGAAAGGAGATGCAGCTTAGGTTTTCCCAGCATGCTTTTCTTTCCCCTGACTGTTTGCCCTCTTTAGACTTCAGAGCCTGTCAAATCTGCCAACTTCTGTAACTCACACCACGATAGGTACCAGACCTCACCCACTGCCCTTCATAGCACTGCTAATTCTTTGCGGGAGCACTGACGCAGTACCAGAGCCACCCCGAATTACAGGAAAATTACATAGTCATTCTGATAAAACGTATAGTGCTGTAACTCTTCATCTTCACTAATTTTTCTTTTTAAAACCAGGATTTCTAGGACAAAACCCAGTAAATATTGTGTCTGTTTGCACTGAATTGTAAATGAAGACGTCTAAAAAAAATACATAACCTACCTCACTGAATTCATTCCTCTTCCAGCATCCTTTAACAGCTGTTCTTGAAATAGCTTTACCTGCTACTCAAGGACTGTACATAGGTGTGTGGTACTTTAATTTCTGTCAGGCTTGAACACAAAGGAGCATATATTCTCCCCAGGATGTATGTGCATAATACTCTGTAATGACTTTGTTGTTGCACCTATTAAGAAGGCAGCAATAGAGTTGTTTGTTAGAGCCTACAGGATTAATGAGTTTTCTCCTTGCAAGCTCTTGTCTTAACTCTCAAGTTGCTAGTTGGATTTTGGAGTGGATTATGTAGCTCACTGGAGTGGAGTCATTACATTGCAGTCCCATCTCTGGGATAACCCATTCCCAACATACTGTTAATATCAATGGAAATTTACATGTATGCACAAAGTCAACAATACACCTCACAACATGACCCTGACCTGCTGTGTGTTTAAAAAAAAGTGACCAACTCTTCTGTTATTGCATTGCAGCTCCAGAAACTGAAAAGATCACTCTCTTTCAAGACCAAAAGCTTACGGAGTAAAAGCGCAGACAACTTTTTCCAGAGGACTAACAGTGACGTGAAATTACAAGTTGATTTGCTGCCTGAGGTGAGCACCAGCACCGGCCAGCTCCCCAGCTCAGAGAGCCAGACCTCCACACCCATCAAACTCCAACAGCAGTCTGAAAGCAACCAGGTTCATGTTTTCCAGGAGTACATCTTCAAAAAACCCACCTTCTGTGATGTCTGCAACCACATGATTGTTGGTAAGAATTATTTTGTTTGTGTGTGAGAGAGAATATGCAGAGTGGCCTTCCCAGACCATATGTGACCATAGAGATGTTCTTGACAGTACTAGTCCAAAGGAACTTGGACTGACGATCCACACCAACCAGCCCATTAACATGATCATGGACTCCTTGATCTCACACTTCAAGCTGTGTACTTAACATAGGTTGCAGCTTGACCCAAATAACAGATATCTCCCCATGATGACACGTAGGTATCACAACTCAGAAGCTATGGAGCCAAATTTTGCCCTGTTGGGTTTTGATGAACATTGGTTCCTGTTGGCTGTATTGCTAGAAAATATGGTAAAATGTCATTCCTTATAATGAATCAAATAGAACGAAAGTCCCACACTGTTTCACTGCATTCCAAAGTGTTAATTACTATTCTGATTCATCCTACAGAGATTACGTGTAAATTCGCCCAAGTGTGGAGGCTTGCCACACCAGCTTTGCAATAGTGCTCCAGAAGAGGTAGAGAGAGGGGTGCAGGCAAGATGGCGGCACAGAGGCTGCATCCTCTACATGTCATGGGGGGTGGGGGTCCATGCCAGCCATCAATAGGCCAACAGGGAGGCTGTTACTCGAGAATGTTGGCCGGCACACTCAGTGTTGCAAATGATTCACTTCACCTGAGATGATTATCCTCCCACATACAATGATGTAAAGCAGGAGCAATTCCACTGAAATCAATGGAGTTATATCACTGTAAAAGTGAGTAAGTGAGAGGAGAACCGGGCCCATGTTATTCCTCAGGAAAAATTAGAGTGGGGCAGTGAATACTTTCATGTAGAAAAAGTGACACGCTTCCTTGGCTCAAGTATTAGACAGAAACCTGCAGCAGCGCATATTCTTCAGTATGGTGGCAGATTTCAAAATGCCAGGTGTGATGTGAGAAAATATGTTTGTTTTCTGAGCTGTACATTGGACCAGTGCAAACTAGTGTAACTCCATGGAGTTCTGGGGAGCTGATGAGGATGTGGCCCCTTGTCTGTTGTGAGGTTCTCTGGCTCCCTTATCTGAAGATGCTAGTATGCTCGTTTTTTCAGTTTGCGGCGTTGGTGGTGTCCTGTCTTAGCTTTTCCAGTGTTTCTAGGGCCTGGGGCCCTCCTGCAGAATTTTTAAATGGATGGTGGGCCAACAGAAGACATTGCCCTGGACTTCAGCTGTATTTAGTGATATTCCTATTGTGACGCTCTCTAAGGGTACTCAGTGTTGTGAGGCACCTCACCACTACCTGCCCTTAGCATGAAGGAGTCTTGTCTGTGCTTGCTGTGGGTCAGCTTCTTGAAACCACGAGCCTCTGGCAGCACAAGCACTGCCTTCCAGGCCTCTGTAGGGCTTGCTCTCTTTGTACAGGTAGCGATAGGTACACACCACCTCCCAAGTCCTCAGAGCATTACCTGCAGTGTCTAGCCCTTTCTCCAATGAACACCCACTGAATTACCTAGGCCTGCTGTTCCCAAAGGAACAGCGCACACCAGTTTGTAAGATTCAACTCAGGCCATTTATTTTGCTTAACACCACAGCACTGAGATGTATTTATGGTGAAAATAAGAATAAGTTTATTATCAAAGAACAGAGATTCCAGTGATGGAGAGTAAGAATATTGGAAACAAATGGCTACATACAAAACAAAATCATGACATGCTTTCTAGAGACTGCAGTGAAATAACAGATTAACCTTCTCTCTAAAGAAGTTTATCTCACCCAAAGTCTACTCCAGCATTTTCAACCAAGCCTGGTTGTGACCTCATTTTCAGAAAGAAATTTGCTGTCCATTTACTTCCTTGGTGAGGGATGCCCAGGCATCTCCTTTGTCTTCCTGCTCCCCCAAATATACTGAAGCAAACCTTTGATGTGCATCTCAAGATATGGTTCTCTCCAGCAGCTGTCTTTTTCTTACTGTTAGTTTCTTTCTGAAATTCTTACAATTCTTCATTTGCATTCAGTTCAGCCTGGTGATAGGAGACCCAATTTGAATGAGACAGTAACCAATTTATGTGTAAACAGATGGATAAACATCTCTGGACTGACAGACCCTGTTTTTCACCTTCGCTGGTGACCAGTGCCTTGATACAGACTCAACAGATTTTCAGTGTATTTGCATAACTCCTTGCACAACATCCATACATGTATTTTGTGATGATATTGGTGAGCAGTGGGACACCGGCTTTCATCTGAGACCTCACATGACATTTTTTTGGTGAACTAGAATGCACGTACTAGAATTAGGAGGTCCCAGTAAGCCTTCTATACCTCCTTGCAGAAGAGGTTCTGGGGTCACACCTATGCTAAAAAGGAAGCCTTTGAAATTAAAATGTATTTTAAATAAAGTTTAAATATAACATGGGAGTTGAAGACAGTGCTACTTGCTGATCTTGGGCACACAGGACTAAGCCCTATCTGGGGACAGGTCATCAAGTACTATTATATATAAGGTTTATAGCCTTAAAAAATCTTGAGAGGAGGAGAATAGTTTCCTGTTTGAGATCAGAGGCCAGGAGGATATGAGAGAGTATTAACACCATGGAATACTAGAGGCCTAGAGCAAAAGAAGTATGGCTGGCGTGGGTCTGATTGAGGACAACAGGTTATTTAAACCAAACAGGCCAATGTGGATTTGTTCTCAAGTATTAGTTTCAAAAATGTATACAGCTGAGAATATAAGCTCAGAACAACTTTGCTTCCCACTCTTCACATTTTTAACTGTCTCTCACTAATGCTGTGAATGATGTAGATTAGTAAGACTGCAAACCAATACAATTCCAAAATATTATTGCTCTTTTGTAGGTAGGTGGGGCCAACTCCCTGCAGCAAGCACAGCTCCTGGAAGTCCAGTTCTTATACACCCTTTGCCTTTTTTCAGCTTCCTCCATGACACAGTTTAAACAGGCGAGGCCTGAAGCAGGGCATACTACAAAACATCAGTTTGGCCCTACCTGCATCCTGAGCTGGATCTCCCCAGGGCTTCCCCTTGAAGGGCTTCCCACCCCTCACTTTAGCCCTTTTGCTACAGAAAGAAACCTTTTATCCCTGCTCAGTTGAAGCTAATGTGACCTACTTTCTCTGGCTGCCTGGATGAGTCAGGTGAATTGCTCAGACCTCTGCTATGCAGCTGTTGGTGCATCTTCCACTTGAAGGTGCAAGGAAAAGGTGTTTCGAGTTTTATTTTACCACATGGTACTCTACAGTCTAGACACCCTGTAAAGTGACGTATGGAACTGCTTCTATTACAGCAGTCCTCTCCATCTCTTCTTCCCATAGCCATGTCTGTTATAGCATTGTATTATGGACTGCCTGTGGAAACTGAATATTAATATTTGATATAGCTCAATTACTCCAGATAAGCTGTGTAACTATGGGCCATAGGGCTGTTGAAACAAAACAGGCACTTTGGGGGGAAATCTCATCATATTTCCTGCTTCCAAACGAAAAAGCTTGTGCCAACCCACTTCTGCCCTGTTCAGTTGTGATTCTGAATTTTCAATGTAGTAACATAACACCTTTCATTCTTTCCATTCATATTTTCCATCAGCTGTGATATTTAAGGGTAATGAGTGTATGGCTCAAAATTCTTTATTGATTGGAGTGAAGGGAAAGGCTGAAATATGTTTTGAAGACTTGTAAAGGTCACTGAGAGAAAGAGTCCAGGAAAATCTCCGCTTGGCTTCAGATGGTTTGATTTTTTTGTCATCCGGAAGGATTCCAGGCTCACTTTAAATGGAGCGCTGATCTGTGAACTGAACAGCACAGTTGGGTATGGTGCTGAATGATGAGTTCTGCACAGCATGCTCTTCTATCCTGCCAGTGTGTCAAAATCTTACCGTAGCTTAAGAGCTAACAAGAAACTTACAACGCAGACAGCAGGCTCTCTATGCTGCTCTTTTCACTGAAGGCAAAATTAAAGTGATGGAACATGAAACATCATCATCCTACAGAAAATGTGCGTATCAGATCCCTCTTTGTCATCAAGTACAATGAGCCTAATTCTGCCTTTCAGTGTGGGCTCCCTTATTGTCTCAGTTTGTTCCTTTTACAGATGTAGAGTCAGGAGATAAAGGTCAAATACATATAACTGGTTTCGATATACAGAATAGGATGGGTACAATGAAAAGCTACTTTAGTGCTTTTCATATAGTGTATCCCAAAATGCATTACAACCCATTCAAAAGCACTCACAAGGTAAAATTCCTGTGGAAATGACCAGGACATGGAACAATAATATGCTTTAAGCTTGGGCTTAAAGATGGGAGGCCAAGTGTTGCTCTCAGTTTTTTGGGTGCAATTCCCTTGTGCTAGAGTGGCAAAATGAGCATTTGTCACAGAGGCAGTTCTTGCCTGTCAGACCAAACAAAGGAGAGCCTTCCACATTCAGGGGAGCACTAAAGGATAAAGGGAGCTCCCATCTTAGGGCAGTTTCTTGCAGTAGTTCTTTGGGTATGTCTACACTGCAATAAAACACCCCCAGCTGACCCATGTCAGGTGACTTGGGCTTGCTGATCTTAGGCTGCAGAGCAATGAAGTTGCAGTGTAGATGTTTGGGCTCAGGCTGAAGCCTGCACTCTGGGACTTTCCCCCTTCATGGGCTCCCAGAGCCCAGGCTCCAGCCTGCGCACAAATGTCTACACTGCCATTTTATAGCACTGTAGCCCGAGCCCAAGTCAGCTGACACTGGCCAGTCGTGAGTGTTTAATAGGGTGACCGGATGAGAGGAACAAAATATCGGGACACCAGGGGGAGCAAAAGAAAAAAGAAAAAAAAAAAAAAAAAAGTGCGGCCGGCAGAAAAAAAAAAAAAAAAAAAAAAAAGTCAAGTGCTGCCGGCAGAGCAAAATATCGGGACAAATTGTGTCCCGACCAGAGATCTGTCGGGACATGGGACAAACACCGAAAAAGATGAACTTCAGGCCACGTTAAGAACATAAGAACGGCCATATTGGGTCAGACCAAAGGTCCATCTAGCCCAGTATCCTGTCT